ATTAATAATTATTCATATTTTATATACTACTTTTAATAATTTTTTATAATACAAAAATAACAATAATTAATTTCAGTTAGGTTTATTCATCAAACTGATGAAATCGACCAACCCGATCAGCTTGACCCGAGTTGGTCAGTTTTCTAGTATTTTAGGTCAGCTTTGGTTCAAAATTTTCCTAATTCGATCAAGTTGGATCAATTTCACTTTGGCCATTTGTAAGCCAACCAAAATTGAATGACTTAACCATGGATATATATTAATATTTTATATTTTAAATAAATTTTTTAATATGGAAATGTGGGAAATTTCCCATATTTCTTAGTCTAAAATGTTTTATATCATAAATCTAAATTTTAAATTTATTTTTTAATAATTAAATTATAATTTTTAAAATTAAATTTAATTTTCAAGTTTAAATCTTTTGGACCGACTAACAAAAAAAAAATCGATCCAATACAACTTGAGTGGCTCAGTTTTTACAAAAGATAAGTCGGTTTCAAATGACCAACTCCCCAACCTGACCAAATCAATTTGGTTGGCCTAATAGCCTATGACTGAACCAAACCAACTCATGAACACTCATAATTTCCACTAAATTAATAGTCTCATCTCTAATAAATAATAATAGTTTAATGTCCAATAATTATTGAAAATTTATAGCAAAAATACACAATTATTGAAAATATATTGATAATGAAAAAATACAATAATTATAAAAATACAATAAGTACTAAAACTATATTAGCTTAGTCAATAAATAGTATAACCTCAAATAATAGTTTAATGTTTAATAAATATTAATCAATAAGTTATTACAGAAATACAATAAATACAATAAGTACAATAAATTAAATTTAAAAATTTCACTAATAGTAGTTTAATCTCCAATAATTATTTAAAGTTTTCTATTAAATAAAAAAATAAAATAAATGTATACATAATCATTGAAAATACATTTATGACAAAAACAATAAATAATTATTGAAATACAATAATATTAATTTTAGTATATATAATTATATAATAAATACAGATTAAGAGTTTAAATTATTATTAATTTCAATATTATGTTATAATTATTTTTCTACTTTTTAAATTTTAGAACATTAGTTATTTATGGAATTTAATTAACAATAAAATCATTATTTATACTATTATTATATAATTTCATTATTAATTTTGTAATATATTAAATTATTATTAATTTCAATATTATGTTATAATTAATTTTATGCTTTATAGAAATTTTTAAAATTTATTACATAATTTCGTTATTTTAATTGTTTAAAATCTAGTTATGAGAATAATCTAGTTATTTAAATATTTAAATAATCTATAAAATATTTAAATTTTTTTGTTATTTGAATTTTATTTCTTTATATCTATTACATATTATTAAAATTTTGAAAAACATTTAAATTGATGATCCAAAAAATCATAATTTAAATTTTTAGTACATAATTTCATGATATATTTTGTAAAATATAAAATATTTATTAGATAATTTCGTTATTTTAAGTACTTAAAATATAGCTATGATAAATGTTTAGTTATTTAAATATTTAAATAATTTATAAAATATTTATATTTTTGTTATTTGAATTTTATTTATTTAAAGCTATTACATATTATTAAATATTTGAAAAGCATTAAAATTGGTAATCCAGAAAACATAATTTAAATTGTTAGTACATAACTTCGTGATATATTTTGTAAAAATATAAAATTATTTTTTGTGTTTTTAATAAATATTTTAAAGTTATTATATAATTTTGTTAGAATATTTAAATAGTTCTTAAATTTTTTAATCCAAACTTTCTTTAGATAGATATAGATAAAAATTAGGGGTGAGGATAAATAGGAATTATAGATAAATTTGGAGAGAAACTTTCTACTAAATTAGAGATAATTGTGGAGATAAATAGGAATTAGAGATAATTTAGAAGATAAATAGGAATTAGAGATAATTCTAAAGAAAGTGGGGAAGGTAGTTTAGGATAAATCCTGCTTTGTTTCTTAGGCCAACCAAGTGATTGTTTTAGAACTTCCTTGAGAAATTTTCAAAAATTTTGCTCATTCTCTCTGACTTCTTTGGACAACTAAAGTAGCCCAGAAAGACAGACCCAATTATTCAAAATAGTGAAACAATTTTGCTTGAACTTTTGTCACCCAAATTCCAAATATGCATCAGGATTTGCTTCTTCTCTTTTCTTCTCTTCACTACAATTGCCATTACTGATCTTGTCATGAACAATATTCTTTTAGGGTCTACAACTACTGAATGCAGCATTTTGCCAATACTTCCATGTAATATATAGTGACCTCAAGCTAAAGATCAATTTTGTGCTTTGATTAGTGTAACTCTATGAACCGTATTTGTTCTTTAAAGGAGTGTTGGCCGAGGTGCCCGAGGTGACCTGGCTTGCTGAGGTGGAGGAAAGTGTTGTGTCAATGTCTAGTCAGCAGGCCACTTCCACGTGTCTGTATATGAGTAGGTCAGGCCAAATCACCCCTCATCACCACATAAAGACAAACCTCCTTATGTAATTGACTTATAATTGCCTCTATGGTATTTGCAAATTACAAAACTATCACATATAACATAGATCTTCTAATTTGTAATTGCCTTTATGGTATTTGAAAATTAAGACTTGACACATATAAGACAAATTTTCCAATTTAATTGAACCTAAGGCATTCAAAAATTACAGGAATGTCATATATAATTATTTATGATTTTGCCATTCTATAAAATAAAATGCTATCCCTCTTCTCTCTCACCCAATTCTCTCTCTCTCCTCTTATTCTTTATCTCAATTTTTATTTATTTATTTATTTTTTATTATTATCTAAGCATTTATTTATTTTATTATTATTTACAATTTTGCCATCCTACAAAATAAAATTGATTTATTTAACAACAAAATTGATTTGTTTATATTAAATTAACTTCAAAACTGAAAATTTTATTTATTTATTTATTTTATTAAATTAAGTATATTATTATCCATATATTTCTACTTATTTTAAGTAAATCTTTTTTCCTAAAAACTTTTAATTAAAAAATTACCTTTTGCAAATTTAATTTTTTCCTATAGTCATTTTTTATTAAAATTATATTATAAAAAGCGAAGTACTAAGATGTCATTATTAGATATCAAGTATATTTAGAGATGTCAATTTAACCCTCCTCCATCGGGCCTCTAACTCACCCCACCCGCGATTGAGGCGGGTTTTGGGTAAAATCAAGGTGACCAGGGATAGAGGTAGGGATGATATTTATCCACGCCCGTCCTAATCCCGACCCTAAACCCATCTCAATTAAAAGTGTGTATGTATGTGTTTGTATAAAATATAACTTTTAATATATTATTATATTATATTATATAGTTTTAAATAAGTTTAAAAAAAAAGGTTAATAAAAAGAATTTGCAAGCAGAAATGACGGAGAAGGGGGCAGGGTAAATTTGGAGATCCCTGTTGCATATGGGAATAGGAATAGGGTTAGGATTTATAGTCCCATTGGGGTACAAGGTGGGGTATTTCAGTTCAGGGTTGGTATGGAAAACCATTATGGAAAACCATGCCCCACCCCACCCCACCCTCTTTCCTATATTTGGGCCTAATCAAGTCAAACCTCGTTATCCCAATTAATAATTGATTTGATTTGGGATCTATCTTATAAAACCAATTACTGATCTGTTTGAGACTGATCCATCCTATTAAGAACTAGACCCGACCCATTGACATCTCTAGGGAAATCCAGTTTTGCAAAAGTAATAAAAGGGAGTTTGGTTAGGAGAAATTGAACCAGCAATAAGTGGTGATTTAGTCCCTTCTCCCCAATCCTTCTTCTTGGTTGGGACCATAAATCTGTTGGTTTTTTTTCTTGGTGCTTCATGGGGCTACACAACATGGGTTTTCCATCATCCATCACCTTAACCCCTCCAACCCTGGTGGCAGTAGAATTTGATACCTGGTCTTTTCTACAATGAGTCACTACCAACCAACTTGGGATGTTTTATCCAGAGTGCAATTTGTCCCCTAGTTTTATGAAACAACTTGGGGATGTTTTATGAGGTGAACGTTTTTGTTTTCACTTGTTTCTTAAATTGCCATATCAGAAGAAAATATTAAGAATATGTTTTTGAATTGTATATTTGTTTTGAGAAGCAAAACCAAACAAAAAACCAAATGCCAGAGTACAGAAATTGTGAGTTTCATGAAAGATGATGAAATATGTTGCATGTTTTGAAACAAAAATATGTTTTTCAAACCAGAATCGCATTTACAACCAAAAACATGTTTTTCATGTTTTACATTTATTTTCAAACGTAAGATGGTTTTAATTTGTTTTTGAAATTAAAAAAAAAAGAAAAAAATCACATCCAAGAACACTCCCTTGGCCAACTACCAGTTTAATTTCAATGGCTTTGAATTTATGTCTACACATCACTAGCAAATAGGTGCTGTTCAACTCCAAAATTACCTAACTCATGAACCCAACCTGACCCTACCATATACCAACTACAATTACCACTTAGAACATTTTCGACATCCGATACAATCAAGGAATTACCAAAAGAATATTAATTAAGTGGCCAAATGAAGTACCCAAACAAGGAAACCAATAAGAAACTTGTCTACTGTTCCTTCAATAAAGGTGGTCCCTAGGATTTCAGCCTTACGTATTCCAATCGAATTGACCTTAATTACCACATCATCAATCGGTCAGACGCCAATATCCATTATCTTTCATCCTGCTTCAATTTTAGATTTCTCATTCCTAGTTCTTTTTTTTTTTTTTTTTTGTATTTCTTTTTGCTGCATCATTCCTAGCTGGTTGATAAAGAAAGAATAAGGATTTCCGGTTTCTATTTTCCTGAATAAACTGCTAAGTAATGTGCTCTGAAATATTCTCCAACCCCATATATGTATATATATAAAGAAAGAAAAGTCTTTACTTCAACAACTCTTCTTTGTATCTTCTCTCTTACTTCCCTCTCACGCTTCCCTCTGTGTCACGAAACTGCCTTTAAGTACTGCTCTCACCATTACAATAAGGAGCCCAAACCCAACAAAGTAACAGCCATGGCTTCAGAAGTTACAAACACAAAGCCGTTCCCCATTAAAACCGTGGTGGTTTTGGTTCAAGAAAACCGCTCCTTCGATCATATGTTGGGATGGATGAAGACCCTCAATCCCGAGATCGATGGTGTTTCATCCGGAGACGAATACTACAACCTTTTATCCACAACCGATCCAAACTCGAAACGAGTTTACTTCGGGAACCGATCGGAGTATGTAGACCCTGATCCGGGCCACTCATTTCAGGCCATTTACGAGCAGGTGTTTGGCGTTCCATGGGGACAGTCATCTCTGGGGGTGAAGATGAACGGGTTTGCTCAGAATGCAGAGAACACACAGGAAGGAATGTCAGATACTGTAATGAATGGGTTTAGGCCGGAAGCCGTGCCTGTTTATAAGGAGTTGGTTTCGGAATTTGCAGTATGCGACCACTGGTTCGCATCAATCCCTACTTCAACACAGCCAAACCGGATGTATGTGCACTCTGCGACTTCGCATGGTTTAATCAGCAACGACACGAAGAAGTTGATTGAAGGGTTGCCACAGAAGACCATCTTTGAGTCACTGGAGGAGGCTGGGTTCTCTTTCGGAATATACTATCAGGATCCTCCATCCACACTTTTCTACAGGTACGTTGATCGAGAAAGCCTCTCTGTGACTGTGAGTGAGCTTACCTTGTTAATTAATTTCCCTTCACTGTGGATTTTTGATTAATTGGCTCGACGTCGACGGGGGTCAACCCCACATCGGCGTTGTCATGTCTTGTGGGTAATGACTTATGAGCGGCCGGCCCCTCTCGGAAAGCAGCTAGCTCCTTATTGAATTTATGGCTTTTGCGTGCAAGAATTAATGGAGTCTAGTATTGAATTCCATCCCCACCTTAGCTTACAGTACTGAGATGAATTCCATCTACTTCAATCCAACCATTGAAATCTAGCTATATATATAGGGTCCCCAAATCAGAGTTGGGCAAACTCTGGAGTTTTCTTTAAGAATTAAACAAAGTTGGTAGCCGAAAAGAGATAAAGCGACGGTGCCGACAGCTGAGGCAGGCAATGCAACATTTTCCTTTCCTAACCAAAGACGACTAGACTAGAGGAGAGAGCAACTTTCTCAACTTCTTACAAGCTAAGAGATACTGATGAAACGATAAATTAATTGCACTTGTGAATTACCGATTTAATCACATTGATTTTGGTTCAAGCACTTTGATTAGGGTAAACCAATTCTAATTGAAGTATTTCCATCATATATATCAATTTGACAAGGCAAATGGGACTTTGATCTGGTTGCCCATTTGAGCAGTCCAATCGTTTAAAAGAGTGAAGATCTCTCTCTACACAGTTCAACTACCCTGATAGATGTGTAGAACAGGACAATGCTAAATAGAGTTAAACTGTCATCAGAATAGTGCTAGCGGGCATCGATCCTCTGCCCATATAACGCAACATTCATTGGCAAAGGTCAATGAATGAACAAAAGTATATGCATTCTCAGTTCCACTAGGTGAGAATATATCCTTTTTTTGTTTTCTAATCTCTATCGTACGTTCTTAATTTGCTTTAATTTCCTCTAGTTAATGGAATACGGAAATTAATTAGTTGGCTTCTTGGACTATTTTGGGTATTTAATTAGTTGGTGTATTGTTTTGTAATGTAAAATTTTAGATTTTTGATTGTTTGACAGGAATCTTAGAAAATTAAAATACATAAACAAATTTCATCAGTTCGACCTAGACTTCAAGAGACACTGCAAGGAGGGGAAGCTGCCGAACTATGTGGTGATTGAACAACGATTCTTTGATTCAAAATTGCGGCCAGCGAATGACGATCACCCCTCTCACGATGCCTCAGAGGGTCAGAAATTTGTGAAACAAGTGTACGAGACACTGAGAGCGAGCCCACAGTGGAATGAAATGATATTCATAATCATATATGATGAGCACGGTGGGTTCTATGATCATGTCCCAACTCCTACTGGAGTTCCCAGTCCAGATGGCATTGCAAGCTCTGAGCCATTTTACTTTAAGTTTGATCGTCTTGGCGTTCGGGTGCCTGCCATCTTCATTTCTCCATGGATTGAACGGGGAACAGGTGAGACGACAAAGCTACACTAAAATTAATTTGCTGGCTTAAACAATCTAAAGCTCTTGCCCCTTGCAATTGCAGTGCTGCATAGGCCTTCAGGACCATATTCTACATCGGAATTTGAACATTCCTCCATTCCGGCAACCGTGAAGAAGATTTTCAATCTGAAGGAGTTCCTTACAAAGCGAGATGCTTGGGCTGGCACTTTTGAGACCGTCTTGAACAGGGAGAGTCCAAGAACAGACTGCCCAGGTGATCTCTCTCTCTCTCTCTCTCTCTCTCTCTTGGGTGTACTCCAATCTCCATGGTTGTGGGTGATGGATAGAATATTGATTGAATAAGCATATATAGCTAATTAATGAGGCACATAAGTTGTCAGTCAAGTATAATCTAACATGTAATGAGGCAATTAAATTGCAGTTACTCTGGCAGTAGAGCCGAGGAAACTGCGAGCAGCTGAAGCAAATGAAGGGGCAAAGCTGAGTGAGTTTCAAGAGGAGTTGGTACAGTTGGCAGCTACGCTGAATGGAGACCATAGAAAGGACATTTATCCACACAAGTTAGTAGAGAACATGACGGTTAAAGATGCCAGCAAGTACTGCGAAGAAGCCTTCAAGAAATTCTTAGAGGGATGTGAGAATGTCAAGAAGGGAGCAGATGAATCTGAGATTGTTGTATTACCAACTGCAGCAGTGCAATCACCTCCTGAGGACTCAACTCCACCTTCTAAGTCCAAGTCCTCTACTCGGAAAATGTTTGCTTGTTTTGTTTGCAACAACTGATAAACAAATCCAATTAGCTGCTAAGCATTCCATTCTCTGTATAACTGTATGTCTGGGATTTATAGCTAGAATCAGTGTCCCTGTTACAGTTTAAACATGTAATCCTGATGAAAGTTCCATTTATGCATGACATTAAATTTGATTAAATACACATAAAAAGATACAGTGAGCAATTGTCTTAATTAATAAAATCCTTCGCCTGTATATTTGTGTGTAGATTTGTTCATTTTACTTGTACATTAGATTTCGTTTTCACTTTTATTTGAGTGCCATTGCCATATGTTAATGGGCCACTTTACTTAAGGTCTTAAGTTCATCTCAATAGTAAGTGGGCTTGACTAGGTAGAGCGTCGAGGCTTGAACTCGGTTGGGCCTGATTTGGGCAAAGAATGATTTGCTCTTAGGCTGAATGGGGCTTCAACGCAAGGATACTTTGCACCCTTTTGGCAATCTCCACAATCTTATCGTGACAAAACCGTAAAGCTGGAGAGGAAATCATCATCCATACCTTATCCTAATTATATGGATCGGTTACATCAATACTGTTTTACCAATTCTTTTTATTTATAACTAAGATATATCTAAAAATATTTTCGAAAATATTTTTGTCGGTAATCAATAAAAAGGAGGTAATCCAAAAATAGGAAAATCCTTTTGGGTTGACTTCTAGGCTGCACCTTTCAAGGGTTGTCATTTTTTAATTATTTTATGTCGAAAGTGTAAATTGAAAAAGCGGAATAAATATGTAAATAAATAAATAAAGATCGATGTTAATTTTAATAAATGCTTTTAATGTGTATTGATTTTAGGAAGTGGCGATATTTTATTTTTATTTTATAAGGCCAGTCAATCTTGACAACGTTAAGAATGGGCTGAGCTGCAAATGACATGCGTTTATCTGAATTTGAATATTGGATTTCAAACTAGATTGGGTTAAGGCGATTAATTGGATCCATTTGTGATTGCATCGAATATATATGGATCCATCATCCATCCCTATCCAGTGATCCGATTTAAATAACATGTTATGTCACATAAAAGGAATCATTTCAATCAGAAAAAATGCATGTAAAGAATTGATCATTGTCCTTTAAAATGGAAACATCAAATTAATTTGCCATTTCAGGTAAAGACAACAATTTATATTGATAGACCTAAAATGTTTCTAATTATGTCATGTGATAATTCATATTTCACATCAATTTATATTGATCAATTCCAAAGATATTATAACTATTACCAAACACAATGATCCTCAAATAACTTTGACCAATCAAAACCCCTCTCCACCTAAAAGGTACCGATTGGTTTAACACTTGGACAAGTCAGACCGGCAAATACCAAATAGTGGCCAAAACGATTTTTATTTGAACCATATATTACTTTATATTCATTTTGATATTTAATATCTTATAAAGTAATTTAGAATCATGTACTACTTCTTTAATTTTTTTCATATTTTTATTGAACTCGTCAAACAGCCGGCTGATTGGATCTATTCATTCAACTTATTGTGTTGAGAACTTTTCCTCGACTCTCTGGTTATCTCTTATTTTCTATTAAATTAAATAGTTTTTTAATTTTTCAAAAAATTGAAAACAGGATTTCTTGGTTTTGTTTGACATATTCCAACTGTTATGGGTTTTCATGGTTTAATTAACCGAATACTATTTTTTGAAACCAAACCGGTATTATCAGTTTTTGTAATTCTTAAAATCGAAATCAAACCAATGCCATCGATTAATTGATTTTGGTTCTTTGGTTAAAAAATCAAACTAATCCTTTGATTTTTTTTTTTTTAAATACTGAACTGATTGATTCGATTAACTGAATGTTCTGGTTTTTTATGAGAACCCCTACTATCAACTGTGATAATAATGGTTTGGGTTTTGATAGCCATTTTTCCAACCAAACCCAAGTAGACCTCATTCAAACCAGGTCGATTGGCCGACCATTCATTGCCAAATGTGTTTGATTAATTATTTATTCCTGCTTTTCAAAATCTCTGTACGTAACAATTTAGTGCAGCTCAAAATTGATAATTACCGGACTAAACCAGACCTGAGCCAACCCACCATTTCCCATCCATAAATTTAATTAAATATGATTCAAAGCATAGAAAATTAGAAACAAGCTAGATTTAGATATACATTGAAAAATTGCTTAAAATAAATAAAAAATGTATTTTATTAAAATAATACTAAAAGTAACAAGCATAAACCTTTCGCAATAAGCACATAAAAAATTACTTCTATTTGCAATAAGCACATAAAAAATTACTTTTACAAGCATTAAAAATTACAAATAAAGAGGTGAGATTTGAAGTAAGTAAAACATAATTTTAAGGCAGGGAAAATTAGATAAAAAACTTCATTCAATTAAAGATAATTTGCACATGGGTTCAAATAACCACATTAAATATATACAAATTTTCAAATAAATGACCAAATTAATAGTTTAAAGAATAGAAAAATAGAAAAAACAAAGGTTTAAAAACTTAAAATTTTTTAAGAATTCTAAGGGGGTGTTCTTTTTTTGGAATTTGATAGGGGAAGTTGGTCAATCCCATGTTATGTGGGGATCAGGCAAAGTTTATTTTCCTATGTATCACTTACTTAGGGAAATGATACCCATCTTCTAGGTGGGTAAATAACTTTTCCACCTAGGGGGAAAGTTGCTAACACTTGAATAGGACAAAAATGCCCTTTTAAGTAACTTACCGAGGAAATAAAAGAACATGGGTAAACAAACTTACCCGGGTATGTGTTTGCTAGGAAAAACTTACCCAGGTAATTGCATTTACCTAGATAAGTAACTTACCGAAAAGCAAACGGGGCCTAAGTAGCACCCTTAAATTTAACTTGCGAAAGTGTAGCATTCAAGTATAGAAAACATGACATCAAAATTTTTGACAAGAGAATTAGTGTTGGACTAACAATTTATAGTTGAATTTATAGGCCAATGAGTAGGACCCCAACTGATGAAGTAGGATTACCATGGTTACAGAAGAACAAAGCCAAAGCAGAGACTTAGGGCCTATTTGTTTCCTCTTAACTTTAAGACAAAAATGGTTGTTCATTTCCTCTTATCTCTTATTTCTTAAAGTGCAATCATACAAGTTTTTATTTTCCAATTATACCCCAAAAAAAGACAAACAAAAACTCTCATATATGGGGTCAAAATGGATATTTGATAATTTTCAGAGTTTAGAACAACATTCTCTAGTTTTTTGTTCAAATGGGGGAGAAGAGGAACAATCCATTACCTTAAAATAAAAAGTTAGGTTTCGTTAAATAATGCGCAAGGGCAGTTTCATAATTTTTGGAAAACTCAAGGGTATTTTCATAATTTTGGGACATTTCGGTTAAACCGGGGATTCTAGTTCAATGATGGGGATTTTTGGGCAAACAAAATGGAGGGTTGAGATGGGTTTGACCGTAGAGTGGGGTCATGCATGTGCAGGCCAATGAGATTGGCCGAAATGGAATCTTTTTAGATGAGTGGGTAAATTTGGGATTTTTGGCTAAAATTTGACAAGATGGGGTTTTCGGACATTCCGAGTTGATATGTGTGGTCAGATTGGCCCAACTAGGGCTGGATTTGGCAGATTTGGAAAGGGTCCGATTCAATTAATCTAGGGCTTCGAAACGAAATCTTTGTGTGTTCGAGGGGCAAACAGGGTCTATTTTGGATGAAATTTGATAGGGTAGGATTTTGGGTAGTTTAAGGTGATTGGTAAGGTTAAATTGATCCAACTGAGCCCAGATCGTGTGGATTTGTAATATGGTCAATCTAGGACCTTCAAATGGAACCTTAGTGCAATTAATGGGTAAACGAAGGTATTTTGGGCTAAGATTGCATAGGTGGGTATTTGGGGGTGTTCGGGATCTGATGATGAGGTCTGATTAGTCTTAGAGAGTCAAGATCGTAGGAATTTGTGTCAAGCGATGTTTCAAAATAAAATCTTGATTTGATAGAAGGGCAAGCGGGAGAATTTGGGGGTGAAATTTTATGAGTAGGTGTTATGGTATGTCTAGAGTCTAAAGGTGTGGTCTGATCGTTTCAAATGTGTCAAGATCAAGGTAATCTGGGTTCTGAGTGTTTAGGCTAACAAAGAGGTCGAAATGGAATATTTGTTTGATGAGGGGGTAAACAGGGGAATCTTGAGTTGAAATTTTACGAGTAAGTGTTTTGGGAGGTCCGAGGTCTGATGGTTGTGTCTGATCTAATGGTTGAGGTGTAAGTTGGGGTCAATCGGGGCTATCGGATAGGTATCAGATAGGTTTAATGGTAGGGCTTTGGGGCTGAAAGTTGGGATTTTTGGGGTTTTGGGTGTTTCGAATAGGTCAAATGGGTTTGATAGGGTGTTTGGGGCAAATTAAAGGTTTAGGCGGCGGACCAAGCAAAAATTCGGTGCTGACATATGCTGAGATATTGATTGGGATATGTTTCTTAGAACTCTCTCACCGAAGCTATTGTGAAAGCGAAGCCATCCCTACCAAGATTTGGGTACTGGGGAACGATGGCAAAGGCGAAGGAGGTAGAGAAAGAGAAAGCAATGCCGTAAATGAATTTGTTTAAGCGGAGAGGAGACAGGTAGAAGGTGTAACCCTTCAATTGACTTGTCTTATTGGTCAAGCGAAGAATTCCATCGTTCTAGATTTGGGCATTTCCATTCAAGCTTAAGTTGGTGCCAACTTTAGCGAACCCATCACCATAGAAGAATTCATCGAGTTGGAAGAAAATTGGGTTGCACAGGAGAAACGAAAGCCAAAGAAATCTAAGAGGGTTGGCCATTGGAATGATATTGGTGGTGATCGATGAGTGGGGGATGTGGTGGATTTTCTACTTGGAAGAGATGGAGAGGAGTAGGCAGCAAACAACATGTCTTACAACGGAAAGAATCATTTCCTTCTGTCGAAACATCAAAGCAAAAGAGGAAGTACAAGCAAGAGATTAATGAAACGGTTCAATGGACCCTTAGGTTTACGGGGTATCTGGTTTAACCAGATGGATAGAAATTAAAGGCAAACATCCGTTATGTTGAGGTTAATTCAAAAGACTCAACATGCATGCTTCCTATTAGAGGTTTCACGCATCCCATAAACCTAAGGGTCTACTGA